ATAATGGGAAGTCAAACAAATCATACAAACATCTCCCCCCTTCCCAGGCTTGATTTTATTCCTGATTCCTCTTTAGTCTTCCCCCTTTCCCAAGGTGCCCAGAGCTCCTGGCAGCATCCAGACAAATCTGTGGAAATGTTTCCTCAGTCTTTTGTTCTCCTGGGAAGGAGGACTGAAGGAAAAAAAGAGGGAACTCAGGGAATGTCAGTGAAATGCCTGAAAGTGGATGTTGTTCCCTTCCTTTGCTTCCAAGTGCCAGGGACACGAGCCCTGGATTTATTACCGTCATTAAATCCGAGCAGGATAACGAGAAGTCAAACAAACCTTACAAACACCTCCCCCCCTTCCCGGGCTGAACTTTATCCCTGATTCCTTTATAATCTGCCTTTTTAACACGTTCCAACCCTCAAGGCATGTCCTCCCTCTCCCCCCTGTCCCAGGTGCCGAGGTCCTGGCTGCCAGAATCGTCCGCAAATCCCCGGAGAAGCCCGCGGAGAAGGGAAACGTTGCTCCCGACGTTCCCGATTCTCCCGACGCTCCCGGTCCAGCAGCAAAGAGAGCGAAGGCTGCGGAGAGCCCACACGCCCCCAGTCCTATTCCTGGCCCCGTTCCCATTCCCATGGAGGTGCCTCGTGCCGAGAGAGCCCCGACTCCGGTGAAAAACAAGGTGCAGGAAGGTCCGGAGCGCGACCCATCCCAAGCTCGAGGCGACGACGGCCGAGCGGGAAGCGGTGAGAGTTCCGTGGTTTCCCTTGGGAAATCGTTCCCTCAAAAGGTTGATTTGCCCAGTGATGGCAGCGAGAGGACAAGGGGATAAGGATTTTAACTGGAAGAGGCTAAATATTGGGATACTGGGAGGGAATTCCCTGGTGGTGCTGGCGCAGGGCGCCCAGAGGAGCTGTGGTTGCCCCTGGATCCTTGGAAGTCTCCGAGGCCGGGTTGGACTGGGCTTGGAGTAAGGTGGGATTGTGGAGTGCGTCCCATGGCAGGGGGTTGGAATTAGATGATCTTTAAGGTCCCTTCCAACCCAAAGCATTCCATGGTTCCGTGACCCAGCCCTGCCCTTGTGGGGTTCCCAGAGTGGATCTGGGATCCTTCGTGTTGGGTGGGTCCTGCTGAATCCCAGGATGTGCCAAAAACGCCACATCAGAGCGTTCAGCGGGAAGAAAATGCTCCACTCCCGTGTCTCACCCTCCAGGAAATTCCAGGTGAGCCGTGGGACTTTTAGGACAGCTCTGGTTTAGTGAGGTTTTACTGGAAGGGAGATTTTTGTGCTGGTTTTTAATCCCTCCTTTAATGGCCCCACACTGGTTGTTTGACCTCGGGCCTGGAGCTGCAGTGAGGGGGCATTTTTGACACCAAAAGCTAAATAAACTCCCATTTCCGTGCTCTGGCTGCCTTTGGGAACCCCCAGGTTTCTCTGTGTGTGTGCTCAGGGCTGTGTTATGAACAAATAATACACATTTTCTCTGTTTTAGAGGGTTTTTGGTTGTTTTTTTTAATAACTGAATGATTGGATGAATCACACGGAGTTTGTCTCGCGAATGGAGTCTGTTTGTTGCAAATGCTCCAACCACAAGAAAAACTTTAGGCAAAATCAGAGTGATGAAGGAAACCTAAAACATCTCGGGTTGTATTTAAGTGGCCGAGGGAGATTTTTGTTCCCTGTGGGTGCCAGGCCTTTTATTTCTTTCCTGAAGTCACTGGGATCCAGATTCCCAGCTCTGGATCATTTCCCAGTAGCCACGACCTCCATGCCCATGGAGATGTTTTAAGTGTGAGAAATCCATGTTCATAGAATCCCAGAATCCCAGAATCAGCTGGGTTGGAAGGGACCTCCGAGATCATCCAGCCCAACCCTTGATCCAACCCCGCCGTGGTTCCCAGCCCATGGCACTGATGCCACATCCAG